AAACATGTACTTGAGCCTGTAGGCCTCGGCGAGCAGGAGTCCAATCTCCTCGTTACCCCAGTGTATCGTGGGCAGGTTCTGTAACAACATCAGGAGGCCCTGGAAGAGGGGAAGGGGCTTAGTTTGGGGCGGCTGAAGGCAGAGTGCCGATGCAGGGCAGGCGGGGGGCCGGCAGGAAAGGCAGCAGCATCCCGCGGCTTTTGTTCTCCAGGCTCGCGGGTCTAAAGGCTCGGCGACGGCTTTAGGGTGTGCTCCTGGCACATCCCAACCAGCGAAGCACCCCAGGCGCCCCCAAAGCCCTTGAGGTACGGGGTTGCTACCGCAGGGTTACTCACCGGAGGGTGAACGCGACTCGGCGTGAGGAAGGGCTGCGTAAGCCCTCCACAGCTCGGGTCTGTCCCGAGCGCTGAGGCTCAGGGGTTACTTTTAGGCAAAGATCCTGGATCGCTGGATGATCTTGGAGCCAGCTCGGAGGTGCCAGCTGACTCTGTCCACGCTGGGCTCCCAGCCGGAGCAATTCCTTCTCTACCCCTTGGGAATTACCCCCAGCCCCAGGGACTTACTTGGAAGTCTTCCTCATCCAGGATCTCCTTCCTCCACTTGATCAAGAAGGCGGCGCAGACGTACAGGTGGAAATGGGAGAATCCTTCCGGCTCCGACTGCGGGCACCAAAACTCTGGGTCAGCTGCTGCAGCTCTGTGATTCTACTTCCAGGGATGGGGCATCCCCAGCTTCTCTGGGGAACCTGTCCCAGTGCTCCCCACCCGTTTCGGGAAGAATTTCTGCCTTAGATCTAATCTAAATCCTCACTCTTCCAGTTTAAAGCTCAGCTGGAGCGGGACATCCCTGGACACAGATGTCTATAAACGCCCCAGGGCTGCGCTGCTCTGCTTCCCTCATCTCCCCGGCCGCACAGTGCTGCCAGACCCGCTCCATCCCCTCCTCCCCAGGGAACTGGCCCCACAGTGAGCGGCCAAAACCGGGAAGGTGGCGGGAGCCCGCGTACCTGGTAGGTGTCCCAGAGGCGGATGGTGCAGCGAAGAGGCAGCTCCCTCATAAGCAGATTGTTCATCCAGCGAAAGGCAAACTGCAGGTATTCCACCTCGTACTTCCTAAAGTGGTTATGTACCTGCTCTGAAACAGCACATTTCACTTACATACCTGGGGAGCACGGTGCCCCAGCTCCCGCACACGGCACCGTCCCTGACACACAGGCTCTCACACCCTTTCAGGGAGAGATCTCCCAAATCCCTCCGCTCCTCACCCTGTTCTACCCAGCCAGAAAACACATCCCAAGGCCAACCCGAACCTGCCCTGCTTCCAGACGTGTTGTGGGCGAGCGTCTACCCCTGCCCTGAGCGTACCACTCTCAAGGGAGGCCTCCCTCGGGACAAAAGAGCCTCCAACCTGCTCAGATCCCCCTGTCACCTACCATCGATCCGGCTGACGAGCTCCTCCAGGGCTTTGACTTTCTTCTGGATCCCCGGCTGCGCAAAGGTGTAGTTATCCTGTGGGGAGAGGCCGTAAGTCAGAAGCAGCAGCTCAAACAACAACTAGAAATGACCCAAAGCAGATGCCCAGCTCCACAGGGAGCTGAGATCACCATGAGCCAAGGAGACATGGTTCCTGGCCACCAGATTCACCCGCCTGCTGTGAGGTCCCTAGTCAGGACAGCACCGTCAGGCAGCCACAGCATCTGATTTCCTCAGGATTTTACCCACAGGTTTAGCTCAGGGAAGCTCTCCCGAATGCTGGGGCATGCACAGCGCTCACCCAGAGCTGGTGACTGCACTGCTACCCCGGCAAGGGGGGAGAGGCCGCCGCGGCCCCGGCAGCTCACCTGTATCCCGTCCAGCAGCTTGCTCATGCACCAGAAGCTATCAGCTTCGATGCTCCGTAAAACGTCCTGCGACAGGTTCGTCACATCGAAGTTCTCCACGTCCTCCTCTGCAAAACAGAGAGGGAAGGGCATCAGGAGGATGGGGACAGACGGAAGCTCACGGGAGACAGCGAGGGGCTTTATCAAGGCAGAGCAAGAGGCACTACAAGGGTCAGTGCGTGACTCGAGCGGCCTGTCTGGCACCAAGCACAGCACCCACGCACTCATCTACTTCCCCAACGTGGGCAAAGGGCTGAAGGAACCCAAAGGACTCAGTGGCCACAATCTGAACCCAGCCCAGCTCCCCAGGGGACCATAGGAGGGATCCCGCAGCGCTGCCGCTGTTGTCATTCCTCTGGGAAAAGTGCTACATGTGGACAAAGCTCCAGCATGTGGGACACCTCTTGCTGGAGCACATCCCGCTCTGGGCGACAGCAGGTCTCTGCCAGCACCACAGGGAGAACTGGGAGAGGTGTATCTGTCACCACAGCCAGAAATCAGGGAAGCAAATACTGCCCTGGGCCAGGGGCAGCACAGGGGGTTCAATTCCCACTCCCAGATTCATCAGCATCATCCCAGGACTGAAGCACAACACAGGCACCCAAAAAGCAGCTGCTAACTCTGAGGTCCCATGAGAAAGAACTGCCGAGGCCTCAGAAACCTCTGCAGGAGAGCAGGACTCTGGGGCACAGCTGCGAGGACCCAAAAGTGCACAAACACCTTCCTGGAGAGCAAAAAGGCTCCAAGTTAAATCCAGCGCGGGGCCACACAGAAGGGAGACTGCTCAGCTTCACAGAGCTTCTCCTCAAGCCCGGCTGCCAGGAGAGCTGCAGACAGCAGCACCCCTCTCCCCCATGCAGGGAAGAGCCTTGCTGCGGGGGAAGCAGGTTTGTGCAAGCTTCCTCCTCATACCCAGCGAACTGGGGGTCTGAGAGCACAAGGGTCAGTGGCAGCTCTGTCCCCAGAGAGTGCTCACAGGGCGCAAAAGGCTGTACTTGCTTTTGCATGGGCTTATGAATGCCCAGGAAGGGCGAGGGAGCGATCAGACGCTTCGAGGGGGAGGGGGTGGCGATGCTGACAAGTTTGGAGCAGAGATCCCCTGCTCCAGGACAGCTTTACCCTAACCTGGAGGCTGTAGAGGGCAGGAGGCATGGGAAGCCAGTGGAAGCAGGGTGGCAGACAGTCAGGAGACACAGGTCTGACCCTCCTGGCTTGGCTGACAGCAGCTCCCTCCCTTTACTCCTCAGGAGGAAAGCGCCCATCAGGCTGCTAAATCAGATCACCAGATGCCAGGGCTAAGCTGGCCCATTTCCAAACCCAGAGGCTTGGAAATCCTAACAAGCGTCTTTGATCTTCCTTGGAAAAGAGCGGGAGAGGATGAGGCTCGAGGCTGGAGCTGGGCCACCCTCTTGGCTCAGATACGCCGCAGGGCAGCTGTCGCAGGCTGGCAGCACTGAGAAAGCTGACGCCAACGGATCCTGCCCGCAGGAGGATGGGAAGCTCAGAGCCACCGACTCCAACTCCGCTCCCACCTCTGGGGCAGAGCTCAGCTCCGGAGCAAACCGCCACCAGCAGCTTCAGGGACAAGCAAAGGCTTAACCCTGCATTAACCTGGCAACCGTGTGCTGCACAAAGAGCAGCAAAGCTGTTTTCCAGCAGGTCATCACCCGAAACTCTCGCTCTTCTGCTGGCTTCTCTGCAGCCACTCTCAATGTTCCAGGTAATGAGAAGGACAGGGAAAATCTGTTTAATACCCATCTCCTTCCCTAGATAACTTCCTACACAGAGAAAGAGGATGGGCAGGCAGAAGAGTGGGAAAGGGCCACGTGCGTATGGCCAGGACTGGCGGGAGGCAGGAGAGGCTCAGCCACGCAGGAACGAGCCACGTGCTGAAGATCTCCCCCTGCAGCTCCAGGCATGGGGATGGTGATGGAGAAGGGGATGTGTGGACCTGCACAGGCGAGGGGGAACACCCTGCTGCTCGCACCAGTGTGGGGATGCGAGGAGCAGCCCTGCCAGCACCCCGCTGCCAGAGCGAAACAGCGGTAGGAGATCCCCAGCGTGAGCCAACACACGGCACAAGCAGCTTTGAAAAAGGCCCAGGTCTCTGGAGCTCGTGGCTCAGCACCAACATCTGCTCCACGGCATCATTAGCGAGGCCCCGCAGAAAGGAGGGAGAGACTCAGCATATGGCTGTGACGGGGGCTGAAAAGGAGCCAGCGGCACCGTGACAGCCGGGACAATTCTGCCAGTGCCACAGGGTGCCCAAGGGCAGCTGGGGCTTGGGGAAAGCAAAGTTCCTGTGAGTGGCACCTCAGCAGGGCTCAGGCCTGACACAGGAGAAGGGGCATCACAGTCCCTCTTGAACCCCTGCCCCAAATGCCAGAGAATAGCTTGGAGCAGATCAGAGGAACGAGGGCTCCAGCCTCCCACATCCCTGCTTTCCGCAGGGGAGCTTTATTCTGCCCTGTATTCGGGCAGCACAGGACTAGACGCCTGGGGGACAGTTAAATCCAGCCCCCGCTCCCGGCTCTGCGCAGTAAGGGAAAAGGCTGCGCTGCCAGCAGCCACCGACAGGTCCAGGGCAGAAGCGGAGCTGGGAACAAGCCGGGTCAGTCGCAGTGACTCCTGACCCCCAGGTACAAGTTTCCTTCCCTTCATCCAAGCTCCACTTCTGCTCCTGCTTAAGAGAGTCTTAACGGAACCATGATTAGGATTTTGTAACAAAGCCAGTTCAGAGCGAGCAGGATCGATACTTTCCATGGCACTGCTCCCCTCCACAGACCTGCTGAAATGCCAAACAGGTCCCAAAGCCGGGACAATCCCTTACGTAAGGCCTTGAATAGGGGCTGGAAGTGGTGTCCTGTTGAAATTGGGCAGAGAGCCCGGGGATAGGGTGTGGGGGGCAGCACTGACACTACCCAGGGATGCTGAGCTCGGTCACTGCCGTTTTCAACGCAAACACAAGCCCTGGGAGTGACTCCGTGCAGCAGGAGGGGCCGTGAGCTATCCCCGGGCTTGCTGGGCCCTCTTGGAGCACCTGGAAAAAGGGGCATATGGTTTCCTCTGGCAAGTGCCAAGGTGTCATCCCTGCCCCAACTCCTCTGCCTCTCCATCCTCACCACTCAAGCTCTGCCTCCCCAGCAGCGCTAGCAGCCTGCACCCATCCTATTCAGAGGGCAGCAACAGCAGGCTGAGCTGCTCTGCACCCCCACATCTCCCTCGAGCTCTTCCTCACAGCAGCACCAGCTGAAAACAAGCAGTGCTCAGCAACCCACGGCAGAGGAAGCGATGAGCCGGGAGGAGGAATCGCTCCAGCTAGGGATCTGGCAGTGGCAGGGGCTAACCACCCTTGCTGCCAAGCAGAGGCAGCCGCGTTTGGGCCAGAGGCGGGTAGGGCATCACAGGAGAGGGTGGAATCACAGCAGTTAACTCTACCCCACCAACCGAGGGCTCACAGCAGCCTGCACAGCACCTGGAAGGAGCACAAGATTTTGCATCCAGACTGGGTGCCAAGGACAGGAAAAGCAACGGTTCCTGGCTGGCACTGGAGGAAGGGGCAGGGGAGTTCGGACATGGGCACTGGAAGCTCTGGGGAAGAGCTGCTTCTCCCTGCTTCAGCCTATTTTCTGGAGCTGGTCAAAGGGACACACACACTGGATCCAAGGCATTGCCCAGAAAGAAGAGGGAAGCAGTATCAACGGGACCCTTTCCATCAGGCTGGGGAGATGCAGGTTAGTAACAGGGTCACCCACTTCCCAGAACAGGCAGCTAGAAGAAACCGCTTCCTGCAAATGTTACACGCACTGGTCCGTACCTCCTCCAGGACCTGGAGAGGCACACACCCTTCCTCCCCACCTCCCGCAGCGGGGATGGAAAGGCATCAACTCAAAGACGCAGCAGTACAGCCAGCCAAACTGCTCTAAGTACTCCCCCGAGCAAGTGGTGCTTAACCCCACGGCAGACACAGGCCCGGGAGTTTGCTGGGTTCCTGCTGGCTGTTGGGCCATTGCTCGTGCCAGCCTCAAGGAGAGGAAGCTGCCAAGTTGTTTCCTGAACGTGTTTGATAAGCTCAGACCATCCCCTACCCAAACCACCCAGCCTTCTTCCCCCCTGGGCACGCTCCAGCCCTTGGGGGGAAGCCAGGCAAGCCCTTGGAAAGATGTTTTAGGCCTCGGCCTGGGCACTGCTACATAATGAAGACACCATCAACCAGACACATTAATCAGCTGATGAGCACCAAGGAGAGGTTTTAATTGATGTATAGAAAAGTTGATTTGTTGTCTGCGAATGCAATGCCTGCCCAAAGCAGAGGATGATGGGTTAAATGTGTACAGTGAGCCTGGAGATGGGGACGAGCCCCTAACCGGAGGCGAGGCTGCGTTAAGAGAAGCGACTAGGCTGACCAGAAGACCAGTGCGTCAGCCTGGCTTCGTGCTGAACAAGTCAACAGCTTGTGAACTCCCACCTCTACCCGTCAGCTCCGAATCACACACCCCGGTCCCCAGAGAGCAGCGCCGGCCCTGCCGAGTCAGCTGCCGGGAGGCAGCCCTTCAAAGGCTCCAACACCGACATCCCAGGGAGATGACCAGAGGAGCCAGCTGGCAGCACAGAGGGTCCCTGCCAGCACCCTGCAGTCACCAGAACACCTGCTCTGAAAGGAGAGTCGGGGCAGCAAACCCAAGAGCTTCGAGGATTGAGCCAGTGCTGGTGCTGACTTCCCAGAGCCGGCTTTCAAGGCAAGGCGAGGAAAACTTTTCCAGTCCAGCTGTACACACACCTTTGAATGTGGAAACACCCGGAGGTGACTCAGGAGTGCAAGCCCTCAGTGGGCAGGGGCTGCCTGAGCCATACAGATTGTCCCCTTTCCCAAGTGGGATACAGCTTGAAAAATACAAGCAGAGTTTCCTTTGAACACGAGATTCCCCACGGAGATGCGAGTTGGCCCTTGGCACATGCTGCACAAGGATTACCAAACTGTGCCAGGCCTCTTTTGGCTGTCCTGCTGCAAGGGCTTGAGTGCTGATCCAGGGATCCTGAGAATTTGTGACCCAGCATGGAGCCTCCAGACCTGCCCTGCCCAGCACCAGCTCTTTTGGGGCCTGTCAGCAAAGGCAGCTGTAGGGAAGAGCCGATGCTCCAACCAGTGACTTAAATCCTGTTGCAGAAGGGGTGAGGTGACGCTGAGCACTGCCAGCTCATTCCCACATATGTTCAAGGTGATCACTGATCCTGTCCTTGATATCCAACTGCTACAACCGGACCAGGGAGCAGGTAGCCACCCAGATATCTTGTGACCCAAAGGCTGGCTTTGAGTCCCAGGCTCTGGGCACAGCAGGGGATGTTCCTTGGCCAAATTCAACTAAAAGAGGTCTCACAGAGAGGGATTTTTTCCCTCCAACACAAGTTTCAGAGACAGCTGGAGGCAGGAAGGCCACATTCAGGGGGAAAACAGCCCTGGAAGACGGTGGGAAAAGTGACCCCAGCAAGAGGCAGACAGGTCTGATGCAGCACGATTTCTGCAGCCACACGCAGAGAGTTGAGCCCCGACACGGTACAGGACTGAAGCCAAGATAAGAAGCCACACCAGGTATCCACAGGCAGGTCCAACGCTCCAGGCCAGCTCCCTGCTCACACAGATCGCTCGCTGTGCGCACAGCTCTGCTTCTAACCCAGCGCATCAATCCTGAGCAGCCAGGCTGTGCCAAGACTAAGTGCCACCAGCACCGCTCAAGCAGTAAGGCAGAGGAGGAGCCACTCGCAGGGAAGCTGCTCGGACCCAACCCAACAGGCTCTTCACCTCCCAGGAAAGGGAATTCACTCCACCTGGTAGCAGAGCCCAATTCTGTGCCTTCTCCTTCAGGCTGCGAGCACCAACAGCACTTTCTAGGGATCAATCCTGAGCACACTGGCTACGCAGTGGAAACCGAGGTGGCTTACCTCTTCGCAACATCCTCAGAAGAGACAGACCAGTAGTAGTTTACAAAGCCTCAGCTAGAGAGTGGAAGGGCTTCCACTGACTTCAACAAGCTTTGGATCAGACCTTAAAAAAAGTATTTGTTCAACAGGATTTCTCTGTCACTAACAGTCTTATAAATTCCTTTTTCCTTCTCTTTACAGTGAAAACTAAGAGCCTTTAGGCACAGGGATTACAGCATCACGGAGTTAACATCAACGCCAAAACACAGCTAGAGCTGCAGAAAGAATAAGAATGCTATGGGTGGAAATGACTTGATCTCCAGCTAAAAGCAACTGGCTGACAAGCAAGCTGAAAGCAGCAGGGAGAAGTCAATTTGCTTTCTGAAACTCTCAGCTTGAGAAACACACCTGTACTAGCAGCACGGGACAGGGATCTGTATTTAAATCGCTTATTTTACATTCTCAGCGGGGTCTCTTTATACTTCACTCCTTCCTCCTAGAGCAAGGACTAGCTCCCAGCCCAAGCTCTGAGAGCAAGACCCTCCCCTCTCCTAACTCTGTATAATCAGGGCTTTGCCTAATGTTAAGTACATTCAAATCCACCCCTTAGCGCTTCAACTTCTGTGGAGCTCGGCAAGGTTATGGAAGTGAAGTCAGTTCAAGCATGGAGCAAAGACACAGGAAGAGGTTCAGGATGCATCTCCAGCCTGGCACAGGCACTGAAGGGAGAACACAGCATCCCCTCCAGCAAGAAAACTATGCCAGCACTTCACACCATTTCCAACACCGCGGTCGAGGGGCAGCACAGCAAACGTCACTTACCAACATACTCGGAGAGGAACACAACAAAGAACGGAGTGACCAGGTCATTGATTCCCTGTACATAGCCGCTGGCTGGGTGCCGAATGGCCCAGATAAACAGGATTCTTTCAAAGATCTAGGGAAGAAGGAGGGAAAGCAGGTACCTGCGTTAGCCGTGCACAAAGGGAAGGCAGAAAAGCGTAACTGCTAAGCTCAGAGAGCAGAGATCATGCGCTGACAGGCTTTCTGCAGCCACACAGGTAAGGCGAGAAGCACACAAGTCCTAGGAGGGACTCCTGTGTGATCCACAGATCCCACACACAGGCCAGCCCACACTTCCCAGAACAAGGCAGTCCAGGCTCCTCATCACACCTTCTGCTTGAAGGAATGCGGACACCAACTTTCCCAGGTGCCGGTGGCTTAAGATTCTTCCACCCATAAGGAAAAGCCGCCTGCTAGCAGAGCAACACACCTTGCTGAACATCATGTGGACAGCCCAGGCTGTCATCTGTGCTTTAACCACCGAGTACGAGCCATCAGCACAGTATTCCCAGCAAAACATCAGATGGCGGGAGTGTTCCCAACAGAGCAGCCTCCTCCCTGCCCCGATGTGTTATTCCCAGACTTCCCAGCCCCAGGGCACCATGTGCTGACACACCACATACACACGCTGAGCTTCCTCCTAGAGAGGACAGATGGACCCACCTCCTGGCCACCTTCTCAAACCCAACCCTGCCTGGGCTGCTTCGCACAAAGAGGTTGCACAACAAAGCAGAACTGATCTGTTCTAGCTCAAACATCTTCAACTTGTTCCAAAACAAAAGCTTCAGGTCTTTTACCAACTTTTGGCTACACCCCATCATAAATATCCCCGGAGCTCCAAGCCTGACATCTTTCAGATTCACAGGACAAGACCAGACAGGAGCTGTCAGCCGGGGAAGTCTCCCTTCAAAGCAAACTCAGCTGGACAGTGCTGGTCTAACTCCACACACACGCCCCATGGCAAATGTGGGGCAGGAGTTTCCCTCCCCCTTACCTCCTGGACAAGCGGCTGCTGGAAGAGGGGGATGAGCGGGTTGGTCCTTGGAATGTCGATGTGGATCTGGAAGAGAGCGTGGGTTACACACACCATCCCTGCTTTTCAGGGGCACAGTAATTCATCACAGGCTAACAGAGGGGAATCTGGTTATTAGAGCAATTTAGGGAAGGCTTAAATACCCATAAGAAGATGGACAGAGACACAGCATCCTGTCCCCAGGGAGAATCCCAATAGTTACAGCTGGAGGAAGTCCTACCATGACCCCAACAGCAAGGGGGAGGAAATGGATACACTGAGGCAGAAAGCCAGGCGGAGGCAGAGGGTTTGTACCTGTCGGTAGGTGTCTTGATGGTGTTCCTCGTTCCGGGAATCGTAATACTGCTGGATGAAGCCGAAGTACTCCTCCCGCTTGCGCTGCAACGTCAGCTTTCGCCGCTCCATGTTTGCGGGGAGATAACCCTGCAGGAGGAAAACCCCTGTCAGGGCAGATCCTCTTCCCTCAGCGCAAACCATGCCCCTGAAATCCTGCCGGCAGTCTGTGAATCGGGAAGCATCAGGCACAGAGGCTCGGGAGCTGGGGAAAGAGCTTTCATGGGGTTTGGCTTTCTCAGCTCTGATGCCTTTTCTAAACTTGAGGCAACCCAACTTCAGGGGATTCAGTTTCCAAAAAAAGAGCACACCATGTATTCCCAGCTTCTGGGAAGTTACAAAGCCCACGTATTCTGGGCTCTGTGCTCAAAGAGGATGTAGCAGTTACACTCCCTGAGCAAAAAGAAACCCTACAGCTCACCTATAGGGCACATATACCACATGAGCCAACCTGGTTACAGGAGACGCAACGGTCTAGGAGAGCATGCCCCCAGCTCAGCACCTTCCCCCCCAAATTCCTGCGTCATAGCTCCAAGTACTCACTGAGAGGAGACGCCACGTCACGGGCCGGACCTCTCTGGGCACGCCAGGCCAGCTGCACTTCCTCAGCTCATCTGCAAACGGACAGTGGTGGCAATGGATTAGATCCTAGGCACGTCCAGGCACCACTACACCTAGAAGGAGAGGAAAGCCCAGTCTGCTCCTGCAGGCTCCGGACACTGAGCCTCCAGGAAGGCTCCACATTTGCCATGACTGGGGATGCAGGTCTGCGACAAGGGGAGCAGAGACATTTTCAGCTCAGGACTGGCGGCTGCAGGGGCTCCCATCCTCCAGAGCCTCGGTTCTCATGCAGAGCCCAACAGCCCCCAGTGATCACAACCATCATTTGCGAGATGAAGAAAGACTAGAAACGGACAGGCAGCTGGTGGAGGACACAACTACCTGCCAACAGAGCAGTTTGTGCAACTATTCCGCTCGGAGTAACTGCAGATAGTCACTTTAACCACCCTGGAGCAGACCCGATTGCAGCCTGAAGCAGGCAGCAGGCTCCCTCTGCCTTCCCCTTCCCCCCCACAGGCACCCCGCTTTGCCACACTCACCCAGGTCCGTGTTGTGGCTGGAAAGGAGCTGCCGGAACTTCTCCAGGCGGGTTTTCTCCCTCACTGTCATGGGGGGAGCACCTGAAGCATTTTGGTCAGAGATTCGGGCAACAAGTGGAATGACGGGCCGAAGGGGAAGGGACTGCTGCTTCTGAAGGGGGGTCCGCACACAGGCCTCCTCTGGAAGGAGCAGATGCTGCGGTGAGGCAGGGAAGGAGACGCTCCAACCCCACCTCACTCCTCTGGCTGCAGTCAGAGCCCTGCCACTGCAGACTGCACCTTCCCCTTCCCCAGCCCCAGCCAACAGAGCAGTGCTGGCCCATTCCAAGGGATCAGCCGGTTCACAGGCCTCTGTTGTGGCTCTTCATCACTTCCCCCTGTTTCTCCTTCCCATTCTTCCTCCTGCATCCAGACACCTAGCCTGCCGGTGGATCAGAACTCCCCCTTCACACGGGAAGCCATGGGATACACGACAGGAGGTAGAAGCCCATGAGAATCCCAGAGGACCTGCCCTGCTTGTCTCTGATCTAAGGAGCAATCAAGCTACTTGCTAGCGCAGAGAGGAGGCGATGGGCTGCCAATGCCACCTGCTGGGTTAGTTCCACAGTGCAACGGAGGCAGAGTGAACAGGACCAGTTCCCTGCCCGAACTGTACCAACCTGGGCTCTACAGGGCCTCATCCAGACCTTTACCAACCCAGACCTCTACTGAGAGCACCACACTGAGCCACAAAGGAAGCAGAAGGTGAGCAATCCCGAGTAAGAATTTAACATATCTCCAAAATCCCCCAGCACACGGGATCCTCCGGGACAGACATGCCTGTACGCAGGATACTGAGCAGCAGAGGAGACTGAAGTATTAAGGCCAGGACTCCAAAAATGGCTCCATGGAATGCAGGATACTACAGGGAGGTGAAAGCCTCTGCTGGGCTTACAGACTGCGCTACAGCCTCTCACCCATAACACGAGAGTAGCAGCAAGCTGCCGAGTTCAGCGGTCAACCAGGAGAGCTCCGGAGCAGGAGGCTGCTCCTGAAGACGGCTCTTACCAGATGTCCTGGAGAGCTGGGCCTCGCTGCTGGACTTGATGACCTTGCAGTTGGTGGGCATGTCGCTGAGAGCAGACTGGGCCCGCTCGGGTTTCGCCCGCAGCTTGCTGTGGTTCTCCAGAACCTGGGCTGCCGTGGCCTTGGCCACTTTAGAGTTCAGAGTTTGCAAAGAAGAAGAGGAGGAAGAGAAGTCCTCATCTTCATCATCACCGATGTCCCAGGCATCACTGGTGTTGCGAGCAAACTCGTGAAAGCTAGAGGCCTTCTTGCTCTTCATGGGCAGCGCGTTGGCCTTGGAGCGGTCCTTGACGAAGCTGGAGCGAGAGAGAAACAGGATCAGAGCAATGCTGTCGGACAAGTCCATTTTCTTTCCTTCCCTCGCTCCAATAAGCCAGTCCCTTTCTCCAGTTTCCCCGTTCCTCCTCCCAAACCCAAGGAATGCGTTAAGTCTCTCCTGGCTGCCTGCTGCCGGGAGGCAGAGCCCGAGCTGGTATGACGGCAGGGCACGGAGGCCACAGTGCCAGCAGACAGCTGGAGAGGTGCCAGGCTTCCCAGCTCAGGAAGGGCAAAGGGGAGAGATGTACAATTCCGCCAGCTCTTTCTCCCCAAACCTTAGAGGAAACTGGTAGATTAACACCCAAAAAAAGTCTTGCAACCTGGGGAGAGGCATGTCAGGGGTCAGACGGAGATAGTCAGCACTCGTGGACACTCCCAACAGAGCCGTGCTGGCTCCCAGCAGACAGAGCAGCCCAGTTCTTTTCGCAGGCACAGGAGGAACATCTACCCTTAAGCTACAGGAGTCAAAGTCCACCCACCTGAAGCGTCACAGAAAAGGGGGAACCTTCACAGCTACAGGGCACGAGACAGAGACAGGGAGGCAGTTCAGATCAGCTCTGCCTTTTCCTGCCGGGAAGGGTGCTGCGAGTCTGCTGCCTCGCAGTTTTATCTCCCTTTCCCTTAACTCTTCTGTCTCCGAAGGGGAGCAGAGGGCCCAGACGCCATTGCTAAAAAACATGCCTGTCTCCTTTGATGCGGCTGGTCCCATAGGGATTTCTGACCATAAAGGGCCCCAGCAGATAAGCTTTTCCAGAGCTCAAGACAGGTCCTCACAGCACTGCTGCCCTTCTCCAGTGGAACGTCACAGTGCCAGAGGACCTGCTGCAGGAACGAGCCAAAATACTGCAAAGCCTCATGGTCTGTGTGTCCAGAAGAGAAACACTTACTTTTTGGTGAGCCGGGGATCCAGGGGAGGATGTTGTGCTCCATAGACAGGTTGAATGCTGCAGGAAGGGGGAAGGAAAAAAGATGACAATGCAGAAAGCCCCAGAGCACCCACGAGTAATCTCCTCTGCCCAGATTGGGGTCACACTTCTTGCCTGCTCTCAGGAGCTGAATACAGACCAAAAGCAACTTCAATAACCTTCTGTCTTCAAAGCCTTAGCTCCAAAGTGCCACATTCAGCTAAGATTTGTTCTTTGCAGCAGCAAAGAGAAGCCTTGTTCAAACTTTTAAGTCTCTCGCCAGCCTGAGCTGGGATTTGAGATCTGCTCTTTTCTGCACCACCAATTCCCTCCGAGTGACCACGCGTCTCAGTTCCCCTGCCCTCTACACCGACGTTCATTCCCTTTTCCATCAAGGGGATTTCCAAGTTTGGGAATTCACACTTCCGAGCCCTGCAGGACAAGGAAGGACTCCAGCCAGCGACACTGGGGCTCCTCTGCAATGCACTTGAGGGTTTGAACCCCATGCTGGTTCTCAGGCTCGGAGCCAATGCCATGGCAAAGCAGCCTCTGGTACAGTACACGGTTTGACCCGGGTCCAAATCCCAGCTTAACCAACACTCCCTACGTGGCCTGAAATGAGTCACCACGTCTCAGTCCCTCGGAGTGGGACTAGTGGGACAAGGAGCCCGAGGGCTGCAGGCACTACCTGGGGAGCATCACCTCAGAGAGGAGCTACTACACAAGTGCTCATCACTAGTTTTACAGGCTCTGGACATGAGCCAGGAATCCCAAGTTATTACCTCCATTGGGATAACTATTCACAGCCACCCCACCCCAAAAAACAAGTCCTCCCCATCCCCTGGTAAACAGCACAGCCGCGCAGAGACAAGGGTCCATTAAGAGCTGGCACACAAGGGACAGGCTCCTCTTGGGTCAACAGAGCTGGCCTGGTTTCCAGGAGCTGCAGATGGTGCCCAGCAGTAAAATGAGCAGTGCCCAGCCATGTAGGAGGGTGACAGCAGCCTGGTGCAGCTGGAAAGCACACTGGGAACCAGTTGATGCTGGGGAGGCAGCAGCAACAGGCCCAGCTGGCAGGGGAGAGACGGAGAACCATGCCAGAGGCTGGAAACAACCACGGCACACAGAGATCCTGGATGTGAAGCTCGGCGAGGGGCTGCGGCAGCCATCCCTCGTGGCTGGAAACACTGAAAAGGCTCACTGTGTTTACTCGCCAGCGATCAAGCCGAGGAAAGAGTTTGCTGACTAATTAGCATCTAGGAGTCAGGACAGCTATTAAGCAGAGGCACCCCCGTGGGTGGGCATAGCAAGCAGATTATCAGGAGTAAGCAAAACAACCCCTCCAGATCAGCACTGCTTCCCAGTGACTCATGGCAGCTCCTTGCAGGAAAGGAGCTAGCAGAGCCCCTCCGATCGCCGGCACCAAGCTCGCACCATCTCCTGATGGCAGGCACAACGCTGCTCCTCTCGGCACGGGGATCCACACGCCACCGAGGGGTTACGGCTTTGATGCACGTGTGAAGGTCTGAAGTTCACAAGCCAAATGAATGATGTGTGTTAGACACAGAGGAGGGGATGTGGCAGCCAGTGCTGGGTGAAGAAACCTCTTCCTGGGGTCTGAAGCATCCGGCCAATGCCTTGGCTGGTAACGGCTGATGCAGCTGCAGAGGGTCACACCTCCCCAGCAGCGCTTTTTAAAGAGTGTGAACGCGGCTTCCCCAAAACAAAGCATCCCAAGCTGATCTAATTGCACAGCTCATCAGCCTGTGCTCCCACACAAGTCGCTGAGGATGACAGGCTCGTTTCCAGCAGGCTAGAACATCACCATCCTGCACTGGTCAGCTCCAAGAGCTGCATGAAGCGGGTTCGCCTCCAGTTTGTCCATCTTTGTCGCTTCTCTGCCCCATCCAGCCGCACAGAGGGTGTAGCAGGCCAGACAGGAGGAGTGCAAATGCTCCGAGGTGTGCAACAGGTGACTTCCAAAATACACGAGATGATGTACAACTGCCAGATGGTGAGTCTGGGCCGTAGTGTCTGTGGTACCCTCGATGTCTGACCCCGCTCCTTTAGCTCACGTCCCCGTAGCCGACTCCCAGCAGACCCCACAGCTTCACACAAAGGTGCATTACCGCACCCTACTTTTACAGCCCAAAAAATTGAGCCAGAGGAGCGATACTCAGTAACTTCATTTACTCACTCTCGTCCCGTTTCCTCTGATGAATCTGCTGTCTTCATCTGGCAGAAAGCTCAGGGCAGGCACAACCCCTCGGCAAACACACCACTGCCTAAGGAGCAGAGACCTAAGCTGATGCTGTGCTCCCAAACTGACTGGGTGAGTCCCATATCCTGTCTCAGTTTAAGCTCTCTGGGACAGGCATTTCTCATTGCCCCCATGTTCAGCATCTGCTACAACGGCTGCTGTATCTGCATTACACCGCTCAGGAGGAGCTCATTGCAAAGTGTGGGTTATGGACACTGCAGCAGAGAGCATATCCATGAAATCTCAGTGCCACTTCGGGACATAGAACGTATTTATTCCTAGTAGACTGTTTCTTCCCTGTCGAAACAGCATTTAAATACACCCCCGGAGCCTGGCTGCCCTGAAGAGCAGGAAATAAACAACCCAGGGCACAGGGTAACATCAGACCAACCCGCCAACGCAGTCCCAGAAAACTATTGCGGTGAGAATTCCCAACGTAAAATAGGGCAGTATTGGAAGCATGAAACAACACTGACCAGTTCTGCCACCCTAAATCCATAGGGAAAAAGCACCAACTAAAAATTAATACAACTAAGTGACCCAGTGTACAGAGTGTCATGGAAAAGGAAGCTCACAGTCTCCAAATCTTTACAAAGCCTCCTTCTGCCAGCTTGTCAGGGCACAGGAAGGAGAGTGCCAAGAATCTGTCCAGGCAGATGTCTCAAAGCTCAGACAAAAAAGAAGAAAAGGAGCTTCACGTCTCATGACCACGGATGCAGCACACCCCACCTCCACCTTTTGCGGTTGCGTTGCCCAAGACCTGTCGGTACCCATCCCTGGAAAGGACGGACAGAATATTCAGCGGTAGCTCCTGGACAGCAGGATATTTGCCAAGCAGCCAGTTAGGAGCAGGGGAGAACCTTGCCAAAATCTTGACGTTGGAGTGTATTGTCTAGGCAGGACCCAGGCTGCCTCCCAGACCGGTTCACCTGGTTTGAGCTTTCCAAGCCAAAGCTTGAAGTCACCCACTGCAGAAGAAAGATGCTGTCTAAGACCACCGGCTGGAAGCACGGCTATGACCTCCAGGTAAGGGATGGGAGCAGTTGGGAGACAAAATGACCCAGGGAGAGCACAGCATTTTCTTCCCCCATGAGCAGAAGAGGAGGAATGCGTAGCACCCATTGCTTTCCTTTTGCTTGCCACAGACCTGGATTGTCCCACCAACCTGAGGGAGCCGACACAGCCACAAAGAACCGAGTGAAAGCACTAAACAGAGAGTTTTAACTGGCCTAGCAGGATTTAAAGCCAACTAAGCGTTTCAGACCGCGTCCGCACACCGAGAGGGGAAGATCGGGGTTCTGACAAGGCAAACCTGAGGAGCACCAAATGGGAACAGCACTGGTCAAAGCCTCCCCCGAGAGGTGGGTGCCCTCTCCCCATGGCAGTCTTGCTCCCAAGGCCTTGTAGGGAGCATCTCCTTCATCACCACCAACTTCTTCTTCCTAAATACCACTTGAATCATACGTGTCACTTGTTTCTCCCATCTCTGAGTGAATGTGGATGCCTTGACAGGCACCAGGACATCACAGCCAGAGGAACCAAAGCAGGGGAGGCACATACAGAGAGCCCCCACAGCCCCTCGTATTGAGGGGAGGCAGACCAGGAGTGGCAGCCCGCACACAAGTGGGCACCTGCTTGGGGCAGAGTTGCTGCCCCCCAAGGCGACACCTCTAAGGGCTTAGGGAAGGAATGTGGAAGGAATCTTCAGTATCTATGGAAAGGATGACAGGACAGCCCTGGCTCCTAGGCTACCCCAGGGGGGTCTTTGAGGCCCTGCCCCCCTCCACCCTGCTTCCCATGGGGCAGAGGGGGCACACGGGGGTCCCCGCAGCCCCCACACCACCTGACCTCAGGATGCAAGGATAACCCTGGCACTCCTCTTGCTCCTTATACAGAGGGACTTTTCCAGCAAAACCACCCTGCCCCATAGCCTGGGGTGCCGCTACCACTCCCCTACTGCAGGGGGGCACCCCGTGGCCCCCAACCAGCTCCCCTGCCCCGCAGCCGGGGCAG